AGCTCTGCGTAGTTCATCTGTGGCTGCCACAGGCAAGTTGGAAGTGGTGCATATTTGCTCCCTTTTGGTGGTACCCTTCCTTCTTTCCCAGGGCAAGTGCCCCTCTCACACTGCCGTTTGCCCCTTGTCATAGTCTCTCTCTCTCCTTTCCTCAGTTACAGTCTTAGGGAAACAAAAAACTTTCAGGTCTGATTGAGTCATTCGATGATTCAGATGTATTGTACAGGGAGGAGGATGGTGAAATAAGATGGGAAGACAAAAACCCTGCATACAGCACTGTGGTATCAGGGACTAGACACTATTATAAGCAAATATGCATATATGTCCTATGTTTAGAAACAGAAGTTTCAACATTCTACACTGTTAGGGACATTTTTCTTTCACAGAACAAGCACATAAGATGGGCACTGTTACTGAAAGCATGTTGGAATGGAGGATGTTCTTTTTCTTGCATGGGTTTGGAATAAACCTTGGTAATACTGTGGTTGCCAGGAGCTGGCACTGAGGTGCCCCAGGGTACTGAGATTAGTCTCAGCAGCTTGTTGCAGGATTCAGTTGTGAGATGAAGGTAACCAAGAGAAAAATGCAGAGAATCTCTGTTGAAGAAACTCCATAGTAGCTTCCAGAGTATTTGGATTATATTCGCAGGGCTCAGACATGCAGAAACAAAAACACAGAACATGGCTTTGTATTTCTTGTTTCATACACTGTTAAATATATTTTGATCCATTTGCTCCCTCTGAGCTAAACTGGGGGAAATGTGAAGTGGTTGTCATATGGGAGGGCTTAAATAGTCCTTCAGAAGTGCCTTCATCTGGGTTCTTTTCTTTCAACAAATTATGTGCCATATCTATTACCTATTTTTATTCTCAAGTTAGATGTTAAGCTATTACATGTTGATTAGTCTATATAAAAATAAATCTGATGGTTTTAAAGAGTTTGGTTTTGATGGGTTTATACATATCATTAATTATCACTGTTTTAAGTTGGCCCTTTGTTGTCAGTCAAACAGAAATGCCAGCCACAAACACAGAGTAGCTTGAAATGTCTTTGCACCATGTGCTGTAGTCAGATTTCAGCTATATAAGTGAGGACAGTACAAAGAAGTTTATTTTGCTCTGTTGTACTGAAGATTTGAATTGCAGGAACAGTTAACATAGCACCTGTTGCGAACACTTGGTAACAAATACTGTTGCATTTGCAGAGTTGTGCTAAAGCATGTGTCCTATCACTGTCAGTAAAATTTTGTGAAACTTCATATGTGATTAAGATCAAACAAAGATTTTAACTCAAGGTATAGAATACAGAAAATCTAACATTTATGATGTTGAACTTAAATTCAAAGCACAGTAAAATTTAGCCTTATATTTGGCAACGGTTTGTATTATTGCCAAACCATTATAACATATTGCTGAAATATGATTTTCTGTGCTTAATCAAACGCAAGCAAGAAAATTCTCTGGTGTGACACACTATAAGATTTCTGTTACTCTGCAACTCTGAAATGACTGGCTGTGCTCATTCTGGCTTCAGGATTACTTTGGACAATTTCTTTGTCAGGTCCACATTATGTTGTAGGGTTTCAGTGAATTAGTGATTCTGATGTTATGTGAAGTATGACCAAAGATTACAGAAGCAACATCTAGGCAACCAGAATCTTTTGTTTCCATTTACTGTCACATCAGACAGGATTTAATAGATGCACTCATTTGGAAATAAGCATAATCTTCCATACAGCATTAGAACTGTAAATTTAGCTTTTATGAGGAGGGGAGTAAAAGTGCAATGTTTATTAAAACAAATCAGTAGAGATTTCCTGGCATTTGTTTATACTGCTACTTTCCTAGTGTGTCATAGGATCATTTCAGGCATGTCAGCATTGCTAAAGGACAGGGAAATGCAATTGGTGAGGTTCTTTGGGAAGCTTACTCAATGCAGTTAAATGAATTTTAAGGCAAATTTTTTGCATTTCAGTTAATTCTGTTGTGCCTTTGTCAAGACACTTAATTATGTACTACATTTTGAATATGAATGGTCCCAATGAAGGCAGTGACTTCATCTTCCTGAATCTTAGGATCTTTAAGCAGCAGAATATGGTTTGAAGATATTTCTCCCCAAAGTTAGGATATTAAAGTGGTTTGGTTTTTTTTTCTATTAGCCCTATACAGAAGTTCTTCTGCAGGAAACAAAAATGCAAAAACTTGAAATACTACTGCCAGAAAGCCCTGTCAGTGGATTTTTACATGTGACCAATTGATCTAAGTGCACATGCTATCATCCTGTGGAACAGACCTTCAGCTGATGTAAACTGGGATAAGTTGATTGAAATTAGTGTCGTTATACCAGTGATGTCCACCCTCTTAACGTTTGTTATCTTCTACAATGCTTAGAGAAATATGCAGTAAATGGGTTGGCAGGTAGTGAATAATGTTTTGTTCTTCTGTTTGTGATATTTGGGAGAGAATGGGGTATTCACAAGTGTAACAAGTGTAGCATGGTGCCCAAAAATATTGCATACAGCTCTAGGGCCCATAGTTTTAAGGTTATTGATTTGGGATTACGCTTTTCATGCCAAACATCCACTTCTAATTTGTTTTATTGAGCCAGTTTTGTGGTGTAGGCATACCGTTAACAAATAGAGACCACAAACGGCATAACCTCAGCAAATCTTAAGAATGCTAAAAGCCTTTTTATAACCTTTATTTTCCTGTCTTACACTAAAGCAAAGAGATCTGCGAGGCAAATGAAACCATCATGTGCCCTATGTGTGAACGCAATTGCACACTACAGAAACTCAATGAAAGCTGCATATACGCCAAGGTAATTATTGTCTTATTGCTATTAAGATAATTTTTATCTAAAGATCCACTTTCATGATGTAATGGCTGCCCTTGTTTCAGCAAAGATTCCTGCAAAACATGTTTCTCTACAGAGGTGTTTTTTCATCCTTCGTAATTCATGTTTCTAATAAGGGAATGCTCTGAAATGATCAGAGATCATTCTAAAATTTGTTTTACTTTCTGTGAGCATTTCTTTCCTAAATCCTTATGATTTTCATCAATTTATAAAGTCCTCTGAGTAACAAAACTTTTCTTGGAAGGTTTCTTTCCCCTACAATTGACTTCACTCTATTTCCCTTGCTTACTTTGTAATTGAATTTCTGCTCCTCCTGAAGGAATTCTCTAGCATAATGTGCCTGTGATGTCCTTTGCTCTGTCAGACTAATGCAAAGATTTTACACAACTAAATATTTTGCTACAAGAAGCTATCCTTCAAACTTAAATAATCACAAGTACTTCTGTATATGTGCAGTGTTTTCAAGTGAGCAATATATTTTGATGTGTGGTATGTTCACAATGCTGGAAAAGCAGCCTTGGTGTTTTTCTTGGAATTCTTCAGCCTATAAGATAAATCTTGCTCAGAAGCCTGTATTTATAAAATGTGATTGTGATAGGACCGATGTTGAGTAAAACTCAACCTTTTTTGAGTAAAACTCAACATTTCAAATCTGCCTGTGAAGGAAAATTCTAAAAACATTTGATATTTATAAAAATGGTTTATATTTAGATTTTACAAATTTAATTTTCTATTTTGTAATGCCAAAATTTAAAAAAAAACCAAGTTTTGCAACAGCAATAAACACAATTGAACGTGTCATACTTAAGGCAAAACTGGTTTTGTTTTTAAATAACTGCTATACCTTTAGAGCAGAAAATAGCTCTATGAGATTTTTACATAACCTTTTTTTACTTATTTCCTATGTTTTTAAAATGTGTGCTGAAGATAAGAGCTTTCTTAATTGAAATAACATTATGCAAACTATACAACCCATCCCAGAAATGGCTCTCTTTAGAAGATGACAAGTACCTCTTCAGCAATCCACTGCAGTTTAACAGGAAATTAATACATTTAGCATTGTGGCATCCCTTTAACTTTAGGTCCTGTTATTTTAACATCCCCCACTTCATAAGAAGCAGTTTTTGTGTCTCATTCATATTTACACTGACATCCTTTGCTTAAATCATGCAAATTTTGCATTTAATGTCCCATTGCGAATAATTCATTGCAGCAGAAAGAATGTGGCAGTCCAGCCATACTTCCACGTATTTTTAAACCAGTCCCCTTGAATCAGGTGACAACCAGGGAAGACAAGCAGTAACCACTCGTATTCCATCTTCGCAGGCACCCTTTTCTGATGTCTGCAAATACTACGGAAATTCATGTAAGCTCCCAAATTCTCCTGCCAATGCTTTTGCTCTGAAAAACTGATCAACCTTACACTGGAACACAGAAAACAAACGAAGATTGTCTCCTTTCAGGATTTCTCTGTTCTGGATCTCCCCCAAGGGAGAGAATTCTCTTTGGGAAGGAATAGGATTACCATCTGGCCACTCAAATGGCAAAGAAAAAGGAAAAAATAAAAAAAAAAGCTCAATGAGGCTTTTTGTAGCTCTGTAATGCCTTCACTCACCATGCTGTCTTTAAAGAAGGGTTCGCTGCAGCTTCGCTTGCTACCCTCTTGCTAGGAAATGTCTGGTTTCCAGCAGGGATTGTGATCCTTCTGGGTGTCACCGTGTTGCTTGAGTTGAGCAGCACATACCCAAACACGTGTCAGCACTTCCACTGTGTCTGCACCCAAAATTAGTGAATGAAAATTATCTGTAATGTTAGAAAACTACAATCTGATTTCAAACCAAACATTCCTTTGTACTTTCTGAAGCACTGTTAGTAATGCAACTAAGTGGAACTAACATATTTAAAAATAAAGCATCAGATCTGCTCTCTGGGAAAAGAAAATGGCATTTCCTGCTTGCTTTCTTGTTCCTGAGAGGAGCTGGTCAGCATTTCCCTCTGGTTTTGTTGTTGTGGGAACGTAACTTATTGCTCTGTCTTCCTTGCACACAACCAAAGAGCTGATACGCAAGGGAAGCTGTTCCTGATTCTCTCTGGGCACCGGCACCCTTATTCTGGAATAAATGTTTTAATCCTTATTCATTCAAATAGCTCATTATATACGAGTACACAAGCATTGAGTTAATTAGGAAAAGTGAGTTCCTTTAAGTGAAGTTTATCTCCCCAAACCTGCTTATGTCATGGGACCTGCCTCATTTATATAAGGCCTTGTGCTCATATTTCACATTATTAAAACTGCTGTCCGGGTTTCTTTCATTAAATATCTACCAAGTTTCCCTTTAGAGGAGCTCTTCAGACAGAACAAACTAATGCCAGAAAAATCACATCAAACGTTTTTTTTCTGCCAAGTTTTTTCTCAAGCTGGAGACAAAATACAATAGATGCCTTTTTCCTTCTTGTTACTGCCCTCTTCTTTCATCCCCTTTCCTCCCCTCCTTCTTTCTTTCATTTCCATTCAAAAATGCCACACTGAAGTGAAGTTTATAATTTAAGGGAAAGGCATGTAATACCTGAGCTGTAATCTGAATTGGCGCATGCCCAGGCTGTCATTCTTGTCTGCACTAAATGGCCTCTTTGACCCGTGGGTGATGAGCGTGCACCAGGGCTCTCTGGGCTGCTTGCGCGCCCAGCACACCTTGCCCTCAGGCCCTGAATTTGAATTCAGGGTGGATTTGAAGTGCTACACTAGCTAGCCCAAACACTTTTCATAAAGACAAAGCTGGGTCAAGAGCCGGATACGTATTTTCTACTTTTAGCAACATTAATTCTGCTGGTTTAGGTTTGGTTGGTTGGTTCATTTCATATTTCCTTGGAAAGATGCACTCTCTACTGAGCAGAATATCCAAAATCACATCCTCACACAGATCTACATTCAAAACTGAAAATGTTCATCAGGTTTATTGTACTGCTTTTGTTCACATCTCACATTTTTGGTCTCATACCTATTATGTTTGTGTTCTCCTTTATGGAAGCAAAAGAAAAACAAAGCAAAAGACATATTTGTATGTACAATTGATCCCACTGTACGATTCATGCAGGGAACATACTGGATTTATTGATATCCAATACCAAATAGCCAATTCTCATTTCAGAACCTTAAAAAAAGAAAAACAGAACTGACATACAGATAAAATGTATGTGTTTTTAATAAATTCTCACAATATTATAATAATTGTACTCAATAAGATATAGAGGCAAGCAACACTGTTTCTCTTAACTTTTTCTGCTTTCCTGAGTTAGTTTTCTTAACTTGTGAGGCAAAAGCAAAAATGCCAGCCTTTTCTGGAAGAATGAAAATCTGTCAGCAGGATGAGTTCTTGCAGCAGGCAGCTCTCGCAGGAGCAGATTAGGTAACCTGCCTGAGGTGGGCTGTCAGCCCCAGCATCCTGGCACACCCCGCATACTGAACATTCCTTCTGGCCAGAGTAACTTCAGATGTAAGAGAAGGTCACAGTACAGCAAAACTGAATCTGGTTACCTCTGCCCTTCCATTGGCATAAGGACAGGTTTCTTTTCATGATAAAAGCTTAAAAATTGGTCCTTAAGTCAGCAACAGAGTCAACACTAATGAAAGTAAAGACTTTTCAAGAATATTCTATTTCAGGACCTTCTCTTCTTATTTGAAAGAGTGGGAAATGACCATGACTTTTCTGGATGGTTTAGGACAATACATATCAAAGCCATTTGCAGCAATTTTTTATTTCATTTTCCTCTTCAGATCCTCTTTCTAACACATGCCTGTTGATGATAAGTTGGTTTGCTGTAGTATTTTAAATGATTTGTGCTTTTTTTCAAATAGGAATTTGAAGCCTGTGCTTTGCTTACTAATGCTCAGAAACATCTTAAACCACCTTTCATTAGAAGAAATGTAGGCCCATTATCCCTGAATCAATTACATTGCTGTAAATTGACAGCATTATATCTATTGAAAGTACATTGATCTTAATTTCAGGTTCCTAAATACTGTTTCATGTTATGGCTTGAATATTAGAAATTCTGGTTTTTTGTAATGTAAATTGTGATGTTTTCATAATAAGTGAGACATTAAATTCACCCACTCAGATGCTTAGAGTGATCCATAGGCATGCAAAAACTAATTACTACTTGTTTTCTATTGGTAAGCCTTGGACTTCGCAGCAGAATATCTGTTCTGCCTGAAAAATCTTACAACGAAAAGTAAGAGAAGGAATAAATCCAACAAAAAGGAGAGCATTCATGAGGACAGATTAGGTGCACAATTTAGAATTATGCTTTGGGGGGGGGTATTTAGAATTTATTTAATGTTTCTTGGAGTTTAGGGGTACTAGCCTTTTAAGAAGGAGAACACATCAACAATTTGAGAGTCTGTGATTTCTGGATAAAAAGGAATATATACTATTCTTACCTGCAGAAGAACTGCAAGATAGCTTGGGAGAAGAAGAAAATGGAACCAAAAGAGACGTTAACTAAGTAATAGTTAAAAGCTGCCTGGTGGAAAAGGACCTGGGGGTGTTGGTGGACAGCCGGCTGAACATGAGCCAGCAGTGTGCCCAGGTGGCCAAGAAGGCCAACAGCATCCTGGCTTGTATCAGGAATAGTGTGGCCAGCAGGAGCAGGGAGGTGATTGTCCCCCTGTACTCGGCGCTGGTGAGGCCGCACCTGGAATACTGTGTCCAGTTTTGGGCCCCTCAGTACAAGAAGGACCTTGAGGTGCTGGAGCGTGTCCAGAGAAGGGCAACGAAGCTGGTGAAGGGTCTGGAGCACAGGCCTTATGAGGAGTGGCTGAGGGAACTGGGGTTGTTTAGCCTGGAGAAGAGGAGGTTGAGGGGAGACCTTATCGCTCTCTATGTGAAAGAAGGTTGCAGCGAGGTGGATGTCAGTCTCTTCTGGCAAGTAACAAGCAATAGGACAAGAGGAAACAGCCTCAAGTTGCACCAGGGGAGGTTCAGATTGGGTACTAGGAAAAATCTCTTCACGGAAAGGGTTGTCAGGCATTGGAAGAGGCTGCCAAGGGAAGTGGTTGAGTCCGCATTCCTGGAGGTATTTAAAAGATGTGTAGATGTGGTGCTTAGGGATGTGGTTTAGTGGTGGACTTGGCAGTGTTAGGTTAGTGGTTGGGCTTGATAATCTTAAAGGTCTTTTCCAGCCGAAACGATTCTATGATTTTATGATTCTGATATACAGAGGAAGAAAAGTGAAAAGACAGAAGTTATTTAAGCTTATAAAAACTTAAAATAGAAAAATGTTGAGGTTAAATTTGGCCCAGCGTGAGAGAACTCTGGAGGAATTTTTAGCCTGTCTGGACACGGACAGAGCAGCTCTTAGTGTCTGTGAAACAAATAGACTGGAGATACATGAAGTGACAGTCTTCAAAAAGATTTCAAGTTCTACAGAAAGACAGAACAGGACAAACCTTGACAGAAGAATTGTGCAAGTAGAACTTCATAATAGAATTCTTAGCTTTTAGTTTCTGCCACCAGTTCTGTACTTTGGGATTCTTTGGGGCAAAAGATAAGGTGGCAGTATTATTTGTTCCTGATGTATTTATCTTCTATTCAGGTTACACATTTGTTTGATAATGGAGGGACTGTCTTCTTCGCTATTTTCATGGCAATTTGGGGTAAGTACATTTTTATTTGTTTTGAACTTTTAGTTCACCTGACCCTTTTATAAGATTACTGGATAAAGGGAGATTAGAGCTCTTGATAATATTTAAAGAAGGATTATGGTTTTGTCACACAAACTTTTTTTCCTGTTTTTGTCAACTTCAATTTCTATGCTAGTAGTGGGTGAAAATAATACCTTTTATCATTAACGTAATGACTGTCTTTAGTGTCTTAAATGTCTTTAAGCCTGAATTTTATATCATGCAGGCAGAAGTCTTTTTAGAGGCAAACATGTAGGTTAATTTACTGATCTGGAGTCAATGTAAAAATCACGTCTTGTAGAGAATTCTTGTAGAATAAATGAGAATGTCTTTGTGGGAGCTAATTAGGGGGAAATATAGGAAAGATTTGATGTTAAGTGCTTACAGCAATTTAACTATTTATATTCAAATTCTCAGTCTGAATATCTCCTTATGTTCACTCTGACATCACATACATCATGTCATGGGGTGACAAAGCCAAGCAGGGTGATATCCACAGAGGCCACTGTTGAACAGGAGTTACCTAGAACAGTCTTCCCTGTCGTTGAAGGTCAGTGTAATAACACCATAGAAGACAGATATAATGGTTCCACCATGAAATGCCTGACGGAATTAGCTTTCACTGAAGCTAATAATATTTAGCTGCTGGAAAGTATGGAAGACTGGTATTAGAACAAAAGTTAATTAATTTTACCAATGTAAATGTTTGTCTGTGTAAACCCTGAGAAAATAACACCAGTTCACATACATACAACTGTCTGAATTCAAGCCAGGGTTTTACAATTTTACATAGAGTCAAATGGCAAACAACAGCTTTATTTACGTAATATGTATGAATAAACATTAATGATTCTAGCTTAAAGCAAAGGATGAACAAATGTCACAAATTTTGGAGGATGGCCTGGTAAAAACAAAAAAAACAATATACAAACAACAGCAAAACATCAAAGAGGTACATAGACAACATAAGTACATTCTCATACATACAAAATCATAATTAGATTGTTAAAAATTGACACAACATAAATGTGACTGAAGGGCACACTTTGATTGCTTGCCTCAGTGATATTTCTTTATTGGCTCTTAATCTTGTTATAGCCTTGCAGTTACTAATAATTAGTTTCATAAATTCCTAAAATACATTGCACTTGGTTATATGGTTACCAACATAGACAGCGCTGGTAGTTTCTTGGTATCTTTTCATCTCTATCTTCACATTCTCCTTAGAGAGAGCTCTTTCAATTTGCAGCTGAGTCCAAGGTTTAAGTGTAGGAAGGAATTCTGTTTATGTGATACTGCTTTAGCAGTTTCAGGAGATACGGCATAATATGTGCTAAGGAAGATGAAAGCTGAACATTACCTTTTTCTTCATTTCAAGTAGCAGAGTGATATTCTCACCTAATACAGGTGAATGTGTCTCAGATTTTCAGTCTGCTATCCAACACGCTAGATACAATGTTAGAAATCAGGTTCTGGTTTTGATGGAAGTGTGCTGTTTTCATGAGTGACCCCTGTAGGAATGGCAACACCGCATGTATGCACTCAATTCTTCAATCTTTTAACTTTGAAATAAGTACCTGTTTTACTCATCTGCAGTGTGACTGCCATTGTTTCTGTCTCTGGTGTGTGCATGTGTGTAATTTACTCTCATGTATACTCATTGCAACATTCACAGTCAGTTAGTGAGATTACATCAACGTGATCCAGTCTCAACACTAAATAAAGCATTTTAAGGGAGTCATAGTAACAAGCATATATCCCATGTGCATAGTTATTTTCTCTGCACTTTATTTTTTCTGTGCCTTTACAGCTATGTCTTTTTCATGTTCTTTCTATTTAGACATTTCTGATAATTGCAAACAGATAAACTATGCAATTATTGTTCAAAAAATGGGTGGATGTGGCACTTTGGGACATGGTTTAGTGGGCATGGTGGTGTTGGGTTGATGGTTGGACTGATGATCTTAGAGGTCCTTTCCAACTTTAATAATTCCTAGTTTTTACTTTCATTAAAAAATAATCCAGCCACCATGCCAGGAAACATGAAATTATTACTCCACCCTTAATTGGTTTAGTGGTGGACTTGGTAGTGTTAGGTTAATGGCTGGACTGGATGATCTTAAAGGTCTTTTCCAACCTAAATGATTCTATGATTCTATTCTATTTGCATTATACTGCAATAATTTTATTCTTCAGCTGGACAAAACAGGAGGGTGCTCTTTAGGACATCTATATACATGGCAGAGATAATTCCTTTCCTTTCATGTTAAGTATTTCTTCTATCTAACCTGTACCACAACCTTTTACATAATTTCTACAGATCTAGCCTGCAATGCAAACAAAAGATCAATTTGACAGAGGAACAGAAGCTTGTCTTCTTTTTTTCCTTTCTGATAGTGATTTTAACTCTGTGTCGTCATAGTCAAAGGTTAAATGTAATCTGTGTTACTCAGTAGTTCCATTCTCCCCAGCGAACTTCAACCTCTGAGTAATCCAAGTAAATCTAACTCTTTTTGTCATATTCACTGAGGAAGGTACAAATGTAGAGTGGGGAAAATAATGCCCTGAGTCATTTATCAGATAGGAATTGTATTTGGATGGAAGAGTTTCACCTCAAGGTGGTTAAACTTCAGATTTTTTTTGTATTGATGCTAACATATCATTGCAACCCTGGTCAAATTTTGCTCTGTTACAATGTCTACATTCTTGACCAAAGTTACACAAGGCAGAATTTTACCTGGGCGCTATTTATCTATATTATTCCTAAGAAAGTAAGTATAATATCCTTCCAGGAAAACTGTAGGTTGATAATTTAATCACAAAGTAGAAGAGTGATGCTCTGCCTGTTACTGGGCCCTGCCTGTTGCGTATCAATGTACGCATTGTGATTTTCCCCTTGCTTTCCAAAACTGCGTTTGCACGGTAATGGCTGTAAGATAACAGCTGCCAGGTCATTTTGGAAAAAATGAAACTGTGTAGATAACAGCTGAAAATATCATCTGAAGCAAACATTACAGCGAAGGGTGGGTTGGTGTCATGTCAGCCATAGGAATTGCATCAGATGGGCACCCTGCGTTGTCTTTCTCTGCCTTGTCTGCTGCTTTGTCATCTGACACACATCCAAGACTCGTATCATATGGTCCAAGTGAGTGGTCTAAGTGGAGAACTGAAAGGATAACGTAATTATTCTTTATATATTATTTAAAAGATTCTTATCCCCGTGTTCTGGGTACCTCGCAGTTTAGTTCTGCAGTCCGTTGCAGCTAAATCCAGTTAACCTCTTTCTTACATATGGGGGAGCAAAAGATGAAGGACCTGATTCACAGTCTTCTGAGGAGAACATGTGTCTTCCTGGTAACACCTACATGGGTGGTCAACTTTCAAAGCTAGTTCCTAGTCTGACATTCTGGCAGCTTTCAGCTCTTGCATTTAAGCCAAAAAGGCATATTGCCAGAGTTTTATTTTGATTTGGTTTTATATGAGAAAAAAGTGTGTTTAGCCTCAGTCTTTGTTTAAACATTTAAAGATAAAGTCCAGGAACATGATACAAATGTTTGGAGACTGTGTGATTACACTTTAATACAAGTTTATACATATTCATGGAGAAGACAAAAGCAATCTTTTTAAACCTCTTTACCCCTAAAAAAAGATATAGCTTCATTCCTCATTCTGTAATTGAAGTTGGATGAGTAAGGAGTCTAGCTTTTTTCAGTTAAAGTTTGGGAGAGTTTTTGAGCTATAGTTTTGAACTCACCCACAATTCTTTGAACAGGTTCACTCATACTAGATACGATATTTCCTGGTATTTCAGAGGTTAAAAAATAACTTGTAAGCAGGAGACGTAGAGTTAAGGGGAGTATTGGTTAAGCTAAAATTTAAAAATAATAAAGTACTGGCAGTTGAAAACTAGCTGGACTAGAGTTGATGGGTATTTCAGAGGTTAAAAAATAACTTGTAAGCAGGAGACGTAGAGTTAAGGGGAGTATTGGTTAAGCTAAAATTTAAAATAAAGTACTGGCAGTTGAAAACTAGCTGGACTGGAGTTGATGATATAATTCCTAATAATTCAGTAAGACCAGACTATTTAAACAGCTCTCTGCAGAAATAAAAAAAATGTTCTTATGCAAAACACTTGTGCTTTCCTTACCGGGGTCATTCCTTGTATCATCATAAAGCCGTCTGTGGGAAAATGACTCAGACCTTTTCCTACCACATATAAAATATCCAATCAGACCAATTAATATAGATCCCAAAATGGCTCCTACAATGACACCAACTATTACTCCTTTGCTGGTTTTCTCTAGGAGAGAAAGAAACAAAGAAGAGACAGTTGAATGAGAATAATAAATCTGTAAGATCAAATACTTCACTCTTGCTTTATAGCAGCCAAGGGCTTTGGGGAGTGAGACTTTTCACCAAGGATCTGAAACACTTTGCAGACTGTTTTTCTTGGAACTGAACTTGCTCTCCCACCCCCTTTCCTTTTCAGTCATGTTATCTAAAAATCGGGTACATTGTAATTATTAGAACTATGATGGGAAAACATGAAAGTCTGATGCTCCTTCAGTTCTTAGTACAAACTGTACTGGAGATGATGGATAAGCCTTTCAGTCCTGTGTTAAAAGCTTGAAAGCTAATTAATGGAAAAAAATTACTGTGTCTTCTAATCTTTCCTTTTCTTTTCCTAAAGACCTGATTCAGAGCAGCAGGATAGAAAAGTGCCATGACAGTTTTATGCTCCATTGTTTTCCCACGCATATTCAACTTGGTAATTAAATGCACCATTAGTAATTCCTTTGGAAGTATTTATAAGAAGTCATCTTTGGTCACAAAAGTTTCTGAACTTAAGTAAGTTGACACGTTACACATTTTAAATGTTATTTCTACACATCTGCTTTATGGGTCCACCCCAGGGTGAATGGGCAGTACCTGTCATTCGGTTCCCCCACTCTTGGAAGCGTTAAACAAATAAG